CGTAATTTGTCAAACGAACAATTACATCAAAGGTGTATTAGAAATTATTATTTTTCTGAAATAGTTTTCTTTATCAAATTTTTTTAACATACATTATGCAAGAGCTAAATCTGATTATTGCAAGTCTTAATTTAGGCTTCAGATGTTATAGAAATTATAAATTAGATCTTTATTTAAACAACAAGCCCAAAATCAATTCTGTAGACCCACGGATGGCTGGGCGACAGCTTGGATTTAAATAAGATTTCACTGATTGATTAAATCAAAAATGGCGCCCCATGCGGAGATTATTAACCGTTACATTGACGTCATCAGTTAGATCAAGGCTAAATGATAGTGTACGAAGCGAGGCTGCTGTTGAGCGATGCCACATGTCGGTCAATTTGATTGAAATTTCGATATATACGGCCTTGATATTATGTTCAGTGGTGGTTAAAATGAGAGTTTGGATGTTGGTATTATATGCTCTTTTGTCACTTGCGTTTACAGAAAAATTATGGAAATTGATAAACATCGCAGCTAACATCACCCCAATTGGATCACTGTAGTGTTTCCTATTTGTCTGCTTTGGGAGTCACGTGGTCACCTTACAGTACAAGAGTACACGTAGGCTAACAAGAAGTTGGCTATAATTATGCCTCATTGATTTGGTCCATTCCTTTCAAACTTTCGCTTCTTATCTATATAATAAAAGTATTTTTTTAATTTGTAGTAAAAATAAATGTGATACGAATTGAACTGCAACCCCGCCTCAAGCCATTGAAAACGTTACTTGATAATCGAGATTATGTAGGTGGAGTTAACGCCTGTCAATCAAACGATCGGCCAAGGTGAAGATATATTTGACTACCATTTCTAGTCAAATATTACAACGATGATAACTTTGTTCAGAATAAAGTAATTTGACTGAAATTTTCAATATATTCTTCTTTCATCGTCTACTTTTGAACTGTTATAGCAAGATTGGCCAACTCTCTATACAAATCTCCCATAATGTATCTAACACCGTTCGACTTTCAGGGAATGTAGCTCGTCGACGTGTGTTCTCTAAGTATCAGAAATGAATACAGATTCTTGGAATGGATCTTCAACACTTTATTTCAGGAGCAAATAATTAACAGCAACAATTTAACAACTTATAATTTCATATATATCGGACATCCAACTAGTATGTTCCCTAAGCTGGTCTCTCCAACTAATGTCCTCATCTAACATACATTTGTCTATTTACACAAATCAGTTACTTAGAAAGTGTTGACATAAACATATAATTATTGAAGGATTAAGACTTAAGGCATTTAAATAAATCAAACCACCCTAACAGCACTAAGGCAGCCGTCGTCGCCACCCTAACAAAAAGAGCCAAAAACATTTGTGACCCTGAAACACTCCCCCACGAAGTACAACACCTTACAGACGTTTTCACCAAACACAATGGGTATCCGCTACAGATGGTCAAAAAGATTATTAATTCCACACTATCTGACCTACCAAAACCAGATAAACTAAAACCTGATAAAGCCCCTATACGAGTGTTTATACCCTTCCACGGAAACATCTCCCACCAAATTAGAAGATTATTAAAACAAGAAGCGCAGATAGAAACCACATATCTCAAAGGCAAGACAACCAAGGATTTAATAAAAGCAAATGGTAAGATAACCCCCACCAAACCCATCTCCCCAAAAGGGTGTGTTTACCAAGTCATCTGCAGCTGTGGGGAATCATACATTGGAGAATCGAAGAGGCCCTTAGACATCAGAATCAAAGAACACATGTCGAAAACACCCACCAACCAATCTGCCATTGCCGAACACCTATTTGAAAACCCGCGCCACCGAGTGAACTGGACTAACGTCAAAAAGTTAGCTGTTAATTGCCACAACAAACGAAACCGAAGAACCCATGAAGCTATTAATATACGCAGGCATGAACCAAAACTAAACAGGGACCCAGGAATTTACATTCCAAGAGCGTATGATCGCATCATTAAAATGTAGTTTACATCGTCTCTGAACTATCCTTTAATTTTAATATTTGTATTGCTTTTAACTTTGTACATCTCCTCAAATCAATTACAATTTGCTTTACTGCATACTGCCTTCACTGTTAGGATTAACTGCTTATGGCTTCAGTTTCACCCCCCATAATACTTGTCCTTTCATCTTTTATTATTACTTTCATCTATAACTAATTACTGTATATATATATATATATATAGATTTATTTAATATGTTTTTACAGTCAGTACCAGTTGCTCGTGACTCATTATACCTGCTAATAATTGTTTGATCCTTTGGCTTCATTCTTGCACTTATCTATACCAATTACAGTTTATAACCATCTATGTACATTGTTTATTTAACGGCTTGGGACAGTTGTTCATGCTTGCTGATTTTGCATCCCATTGGAGGGTTCGCACTGCTCGTGTATATATATATAGCTATTTTGTTTTCATTTTATTTATTTGTGTTATATGCTTGATAACGACTTGTGAAATCTTGTTGAAACGTCGCAGTGAAATAAACCACAGTAATTGTTATCCATAAATAGTGTGTTATTTGATTATGTTCCAATTACTAAATGCCATTTAAAGAATTTAACAGATCAACCACTTTAGTTGCCAGCCTGTCATAATTTGACTGACAGGTTTATTGCTGCCTGCTTCTAATGACTAACCAAGCATTAATGAAAATTAAAATATAGATTTGAAATTTAAAACAGAATTGAAAAATAAAATAACATATGACCTAGACATCGGTCATATATCTTTAATTAAGCTGTTAAAACGTCAAATTCTGGACATAATGTGTGCTATGCACGGTTCGGTAAATAACCTGCATTTATAGTTCAGTGGAACACACAATAATATATAAACAAATTAAACCCACAAAAAAGACAAATATATAAATAACTGCAGCCCGACTATGGTACGAAGTATAAAACACGTAATATTCATCAAGAAATGAAATACGAATAAGACCGAACATATGTAACTACAGCACGGATATTGGTAATAACGATATTGCATGCGATCGATTTTAAGACACACGCATTTATAGTTCAATGGTACCACAATAATGTGAACAAATGAAACCCACAAAGAGACAAGAGATATAAATAACTACAGCCAGACAATGGTACGCAGTATAAAACATGTAGTATTCATCAACAAATGAAATACACATAGATTAAAGAAGGCACAGATGTAACTACAGCACGTATAAATCCATGTATAAAGACCTACCCTTAACAAAGATTGATCTGCGTAAAACACACGGTCGTACAAGAAATCGCACGTTAAATTGGATTTAACACCTACGCGTCAGATAAAGCCTGTTTGTTCTTGATAAAAACACCTTTGGTGCAGTTATAACACGCTTTCGAGAAAACTCACCAAACAAAGAATAAACACAGTGTCAGTCGTTTTTAACCCGTTCGTTAATTAACACATCCAGTACCGAAAAAGCAGCGTCACAGCACCCCTAGCAATAATTAAATCACCTTTCAGTCAATTTCTCACCCCTGTTAATTAACACACCGTATCTACAGATTTTAGCCTCTTCGTACTAGATTTGTTGCGATAATTAGAATTTTACCAATATTCGTACAAATTTACCAAAATCGGTACATATCTATATTTATGAGAATAAGTATATTTACGAGAATAAGTATATTTACGAGAATCAGTATATTTACATATGGCAAATTTGACTTATTCACTATATACCCAGGGATATTCAAATTGGGGCCTACCTATTCAATATTTATAAATGGCAACATTGCATTTTGTGCGATAGATTAAGGTCAATATTTTTATTTTATTAAATGCAATTTTATCTATGTAAATTTAGTGAAAAGCTAAAGTAATTATAGTTTAAATATATCATTTGTGTGGGAATTACCACTGTTCGGTTGGTTGTGCTGTGTTATTTATCAATATGGAGATTTGTTTTATGGATATTGCTATTGAAAGTAAGATGCACAATTTACGCATCGTGGCACATTTTTATAAATTTAATAAATGTGAAATGGCGAGTGCACATCTTTTTAGTAATAAAGCAGAATATATTTCGGTTGTAGAAAAAATAGTTTTTGCTGGATTTACTCTCTATATTCCTGTGGATTATCGAATGATAAATCACACGGTAAAACAGTTTTACTTCCCAAATTTTGATTTAACACGTACATGTCAGATAAAGTCTGTTGGTGCAGTTATCACAACTAGCGAGAAAACACAGCAATTAAACAATACACACCATTGACATTAATTATTTAATGGTCGGTTAATTAACTCACCTCTACAGAAAACACACCGTCGCACAGTTTTTCACCCCTAGCGTTAATTAACACAACTCTCAAACAGTTTTTCACCTTTGTTAATTAACGCACATTATTTACAATTTTATCGCGGTAATAACGAGTAATAGTCGGGAAATTAATTTTCTTTCGATAGACGTACAAATAACAAGCCAAACTGATTTCTATAATGCCTGTGCACAGATTCACCTCTTAGTAGTTCTCCGTGACAGCCATAATAACTTACGTTAGGACTGTTTGAATTTGGTCATTTTGTATCCAATGCTTTTTTGAAAGAATATTTTATATTTTGTGTGGTCTGAATGTCTCTATTTACATTTTAGTCTGGAATATTTTGCCTTTTAACTGAAAGGTATTTTTAAGTTGATAATTTCTTGCTTCTAATCATTGGTGTAAAAATAATACTTTCTTCACCCAACATAATGTCAAGCCCTGGACATAAGAACTTTATGAACAAATCTTTTTGGATTGATTCACTTCTCAAGAATTGACTGATGATACATGAATGAACCACTGAGTATGCACAGAACCTGGGGCATGTAGAATATAGACTTAATGTTTCTTTGCAAATAATCAAAATTCAGATATTTTGACTGCATAGACAACTTTGTTTCTGGTGGGCATTTAAGGTATGTTGCCAGGTAAATTATTGCTTCTAATTTTTTATTATTTATTTTTAGTATGGTAGCTACAGTGACTGGAGGATATAGACAGCAGTTTCAGTAAGTTTTTAAATTTGAAGTTGTATAGGTATATATTGAACTTTATAAGTTCTACCTTCAAAATCAAAGGGAGCTATTTATTACTGTTATTAAGTATATTTTGTATTAAAGAACATCTATCCATTTGATTGGATTCTGATGCATAGGCCTAGTGCATGACAAACTGACTTGACCTAGCTTCCTGATGACAAATCCTTTGCATAAATTGCTTACAAAACAAACTATTGCAATGTTTACTGGATTCTAATATCAACCAATGGGATAAAAATAGTATTATCTTACTAAATTGTCAAACACAAAAGATTCATCTGACAGGGTTTCAGTGTGGGCGTATTATGTCTGTCAGTCCGTCCATCCTTCCGCAAGCCAACACTTGGCTTGTGAACACGATAGAGGCTGCAGTGTTTGACAAATTCCTTTCAAATTTGGTGTGATGCATTGTGGTCATGAGAGGATGACTCCTATTGATATTCAGTATTCCGCAACCTTTTGTACCAGAGTTATGCCCTCTTTTCCAAAAACCTTGTAAACGCTATAGTGTATAACGGATTCTATTAAAATCTGGTGGAAAGCATTAAGGTCGTGGGAGGATGAACTCTATTGATATTCAACGTTTTTCGATATTCCGTTCCAGAGTTATGCTCCGTTTGCCAAAATTTTGTGAAGAATTGTGGCCATTAGAGGACGAACCCTATCGATATACAGCATTCTGCGACTTTCAGTTCCCCCTTAGCCGAATTATCAAATTTGGTAACCATTCAAGTTTTCCTTTTCCCACTTTGCCGAAATATCAAATTTGGTAATCATCCAAGTTTTCCTTTTCCCCCTTTGCCAAAATATCAAATTTGGTAATCATCCATGTTTTCCTTTTCCCCCTTTGCCGAAATATCAAATTTGGTAATTATCCAAGTTTTCCTTTCGGTTAAGCTACTGACAAAACATTGCTCAGGTCTGGGTGTATTTCCACACTTTGTGTGGCTATCTTTTTTACCATATTTTTCGCTGTATTGGGCGCATGCGTAGATAAAGCGCAGGGCGAGTTTGGCATAGGTGTTTCAGGAAAATATAAAAGTGCATGGTTGTGAAACACGTGATATCATACGTGACTCAAATACACCTACAATCTCCAGTAACTTGGCCAAACTGTACTGTTTACAGTTATAATAATTACCCATTAGGGTGTTTCATATTTGAACTTTTTTTCGCGATTGAACTCTACCATGTGCCATGCGTTTCCAATTGGGTCCAAACTCATCACTAGTGAATTTTATAATTTTCCTACCAAAAATGGCGGGCCGCCGCCATTTTGAATTTTTCACCAAAAATGATCAATGTGAAATTTTTGAAAAAGTCGGAAAAAATACTTCCCGTTACTGTAGAAAGATAAAACGTGGCACAATGCATCGAAAAGGCACAGAGATGTTCTGCGATTTATTTCAGAATTTTAACATCAAAATTCAGGAGGTTTGCAATTTGGCATTTTTTAGAAAAAAGTATTTTCTGTAGAATTTTTTAAGACCTTGATTTTTGGTGGGAAAATTATAATATTCGCTGGTGATGAGTTTGGACCCAATTGGAAACGCATGGCACATGGTAGAGTTCAATCGCGAAAAAAAGTTCAAATATGAAACACCCTATTACCCATCTTTAGCTGTATCAAGCTTTATATATATTTGTTTATGAAATAAAAAAACTCTGTATACATTTTTTGAATTGCATAAGACTTTATATTAATTATATCTTTAAATTCCATTGTTTCATAATTGAAATGGTAATTCTGGCGCTCGTACAGTAGTCAAACATGGCCGTCTATTACATAGCTTACAAAATATTTAATTTCAATTGCCATAATCCAGGGGTGCACAATTTCACTTTTGAATCACTAGCCCATGGGCAGGTGTCATGACAAAATTTGCTGTTGTTCTATCGGTTGTTTTTATAGCTACGGGTTCTATTTACCCTTGCATACTCGTTTTTTCATTCAATGTATGCCGTATTGAAAATGAAATATTACAATACATAATACTAAATTCAGCTATACAATATGATTGCTGTCTCAAAAAATGCCCGTTAACTAAGTCAAATAAATAGCGTTTTTTCGGATAATGCGATTTATGGACCACTGTGACACAATGTCATTCAGTCTATCGGTACCTCTCAATATAGTTAACATTTTTCACATTCTGCCTACATAAGTATATTTTAATCAGAAAATCAATGATTCCTTTGAAAAATAAAGTGTGGGTATACATAATTAGTGAAACAGGGATAATTCTAACAGTACCACCGGTCATGTGGAAAAGTGAGCGAGAAGACATGTGATGTAAAAATGCTATATTATTACGGTGTTTGCAATCTTCGTGAAATGAACACTTGGGAGTTTATAACAGTATTTATTGCTGTTTATTTATCATTAAACAATAAAAAGCCGTGAATGACAATAAAATTAAGACATATTTTCACAAAATACATAGAGAAAAAAAAATTGCGGTATCTTCGGTAAGGAATGTTGTCATTTGACAATACTTGTTAATTTTAGAAAAGTTATTTTTAGTACTGGAAGCTATTACCGGTAGAACTATCGTGTGCTTAGTAAGTTATTATGACAGAAGTTAGTCTATTCCACTATTATTATTGCGCGGACTGGAACTAAAATGCTTTAAATAATCACAAAGTATTGTTCGATTGCAAAGTATTGTTCAATTTCAAAGATTTCTGTCAGAGAAAATCGGCCTGTCCGCGGGCGGACGGATTGCGAAATTTCAGCTGTCCAACAAAAAAATTAACCTGTCTCGGGCGATGGGAATTGTGCACCGCTGCATAATCATCGAAGGTCGTTGAAAATCGATAGGCTTCTTAGCCTCTAGAGCACCCACAAGATTTTTCACAGAGGGACCAAGGGCCATAACTCTAAGGTCATGAGACGAAAGAGCCTATTGGTTTTCCAAGATTTCCGATAATTACTGCTAAACACTGTGTATAAATTTAGCTCCGTTGCTCGCGTTGGAAGAAAGTTGTTTTTTCCCGATTGTTAACCTTTTTTCAACTTAACATCACACAGTCCCTGTTTAATCTATTTTAATATTTAAGAGAAAACCATGCAGAAGGTGCTAAGGCTTCAATCACAGATTTTGACCAAATTTGGTTTATAAGTTGGAATAGTCCCAAAACACAAATGTGCAATATCAGATAAATCTTTCAATTCCTGACTGAGAAAATTGAAAAACATTTTTCATATGGTGAAATTGCCCAAATCCGTCTTTTCTCAAATACCAACTTTGAGAAGTCCTCACACCTTTACTATACGTAGCAAAAACACCAAACTCACACAGATTGTAGATGACCTAGTGCTGTTACCACAAAATTAATTTCAGACGATTCTGGCAAACGAGATCTGTATACGAACTGGATATCAAGCCTATCTAAATTCCCCATTTTTCGTCACCCAAAGTTTGACGCCCTATAGCTACTTCTTTCATGGGGTGGGTTTCAAAAATTTATGCTCACGTGAACAAGCAAGCTCCCAACATTTTTGTTTTTGTTTTTTTTTTTGTTTTGATACAAAAAATAAAAATGACCAGAATCGACGTGACAAAAACTAGGTAAAGCAAACAATATCTGTGTTATAAAAATGTCTTGAAAAAAATACTTTAAAGGGTCTGTAACTGTAATCGTTCATGGTTCATCTGGCGCCGACGGGAATTGGCTTCCGCAGTTGTCCACGAGCTTCCATTGGAGTATCAACGTGGTCAATGAAATGATCTTAACAAAACATATCCATTACTCTCAAATAGACATTATTTTAAATAAAATAATCCAAACAAAAATGGAAAATTCACCTAAAAGTGAGATTCGAACCACGAACCGCATGATTGCCCCCGACCCACCCCCTCACCGAGTTGCTTATCCAAGGTCCATGTCGCTGGCCCTGTTCAGGGGAATTGCCTAGGGCCTCTCTTATTCTAAATCCGGCCCTGAAGGTGTAGCTGACGGCGCTCGAGAGCTGTTGCTACCATGCTACACTATTCAACATCGTCCACTTTGACGCAAGGCTGCGTTGCCGTTAAAATTTAAGCTTCCGCATTTCTGTATTGTAGAAATCAGTGGATGTGTCCAAAAATGAATAGTGGAAACATGCTCTGAAATTGAACATTTTGTAGCCATTTTCGGTGACCTGTTGGAAAATGAAACCTTAAAGAGACAATATAACAAATATGTAAAATGGACAATATGACAATACCAAATATACAATAAATACAAATATACACTTACATACAGTATCACCTGGTACAAATCATGGCTATGGATATGATGAAAACATATATACAAATCAAAAAATTTATTTCTCTAATTAAATTTGCAAAAAAATGTATCACAATAGCTTATTTTTAGCACTTTTCAATAAGCTCTATATTTTAAGTATGTTGCATTCCGGTCATTTTTTTTACACCTATTGATACTATGTGCTTAGCACTTCAAAACCATCCGAAGAAATTCTGCTTGTGACCATGAAAGAAAAAGTTACAGTGTATCTTTTTCTGTACTACACAGATAATGTGAATATGGTACTCTTAAAAAAAAGTCCCCCAAAAATTAGTAGGGACTCATTTTTTTTCTTCAAATTAGTGCTGGGTTGGAAGTCGACCACCCGCTTTATCAGAAAGGGTCAAAATTAGAAGGTTGCTTTTGCACCATAGAATGCAGTCTGAGCTTAAAAAGGGTGATAAATACACGTGAAAACCATGGATGAAAATGTCATTTATTAATGTAAATAATACTTAATCTAAAACGTAATAAATAACTGTTTATTTATTAATGTAAATAATACTTTATCTAACTAAAACATAATAACTGTACGTACACAAAGTACTTCAATAACCTGATGTTGGGCTTAACAAAACGACAACAATATGGCACAGTAATACAAAAGATGGCCCAACATTGGCAATACAATTTAAAAACAGTAAAAATCAAGCATGAAGTGCTACAAAAATAAAAAC